CATTTCCAGACATTCTAGGCTAGAGATCGAGTTCAAGTTTCAGGCATCTATAATTAAAGCCTCCGTTTTTGTGCGGTAAGAAATTGATTTTATTTAAGCAAATTGTTCTTTGGTTATCAAGTCAGATACTTTAAAGTTTGTCGCGTTTTTCGCTTTGTCACGGTTCTTTCGTAACGCCAATTTCCAGACTTTCTAGGCTAGAGATCGAGTTCAAGTTTCAGGCATCTATAATTAAAACCTCCGTTTTTGTGCGGTAAGAAATTGATTTTATTTGAGCAAATTGTTCTTTGGTTATCAAGTCAGAAACTTTGAAAAGTTTGTCGCGTTTTTTCGCTTTGGCACTGTTCTTTCCTAACCCTCAGTTCGAGATATTCTAGGCAAGCAATTAAGTTCGAGTTTCAGTGATTTATAACTAAAACTTCAATTCATGTTCAATTTTACATACTTTTTCGCGGTTTTTCATTTTTATTCGGCTCTTCTAGAGCCCATTTGTAGTAGATATTCTTGGTTATAGATCGAGTTCAAGTTTTAGTTTTCTATAACGGAAGCGTCGCCTCATGTTTGGTCATAATTTTACTTAACTAGAGCTAATAATAGTTATTTGATTATAAAGTGAGAAAATTTGAGAAAAAGGTATTTTGTGGATTTTATTTTGGACTATTTTTCCATAAGCTCAGTTGTAGATTTTCTAGGCTATAGAACGCCGTCTATAATTAACCTTTTAGTTTATGTTTGTAGATAAATCATTGTTCAATTTTGCATGGAAGGACATGAACCAGAAATTTCAGTTTATGGGTGATGCCATTTCCTTTCCATTTAAGCTGATCTTAATTATTAAACTCTGAAGTTTTATAATTTTTCCGATGTTTTTTAAAGCTGAATTCTATATATCCGATGCTACAGATCAACGTCCACATTGCAGCAATTAATAAAATAAGTTTAGCTTTCAAGTTCAATTCCCAAAATTGGCACTTTTTCTTCTAAAATTGATTACTTCTTATCTAGACTTGAGATGAGGATTTTTTTTTTGATTATCAGTTTCCAAATTTTGGGTAAATATATCCGGATTTTTTCTTGCGCTTCGAACGCAAACATGGAAAAATATCAGTTAAACGCAGGAGAAATTTAAAAAATAAAAAACATTCGCCATCTTTACAAGCGACAATCGTTGCCCAACAACAAATATTTAACTTCTATCATTTAACTGCCTTCACTGATTTTTATGAGAGCATATAGGCAATGTTGACACGGATAAGAAAAGCCCGATAAAAGTCCTGTTACTGGTTTCCGAGGAATTTTATCAAATTGTACTTACATCAAGCCATAAATAAAGGGTGAAAGCATTTATTCTGACTGATAACAACACTTGCATCCTTTACTTTTCGGTTGTTAAGCCTCCTAAAAGCCAGATAAATTTATTTGGGCTGAACGTTTTAGATGGATATTTGATCGTTTGGAAACTGCTATTAAATTGCACTTGCCCGATAACCAGAAATCGGGTTCATCATAAGTTTAGTTGGTGTGTTTAGCTAGGATTTTTATGTATTTGTACAGTTAATTACTGTGTCTGCTTGAAGGAAATTTAAATTATGTTTTGTTTAGTTTCTCCACTATCGCTAAATTCTGTATTAAAATAAATATGTTTAATTATTTTTTTTCTTGAAATTTAAAGCGCTGTGTAACGACTATAAAACAATTTGTGCCACTCTTTTCTACAGCATGTCCATTACGATGTGTATATTAAATTTCCAGTTGGGTAACTGTAGCTGGCGAATATATTAAATTCCAGCCCTCAAAATGGCTCAACACTTTTGAAAATCCATTGTACGAAATACCTGCGGGATTTCCAATCGATGACTGTTGGCTATTGGTAATTTTCGCGGGATTAACTGAACCTTTGCTGTTAATCAACTATAGGGAATTTGCAATTTGTTAATGTTCCTTTGTGGAAAGTGCATAATTTAGAGAGGACAAACATCAGTTTTAGTCTATTAGGGCTCATTGTATTTATGGGTATCGATTTTATGATCTTGTTATTGATTTTTTTTTTGTAAACGGTATATTTCTTCTGTGGTAGAAAGGGCGTGGAAATAAATAATCCGGCGAATTTTTGTTACAGATTTTTGTAATTTAATTAGACGGTTTACGCTTTTGGTTTCGGGAAATTTATTGCGAAGAATAGTCTTTTGTCTGTTTTACAGAAGGTTGGACGAGAATCGCGAAATTTTCCTTGAAGACGTGTTAGTGCGATACTTAGCATGGAGTCCACAAAATGTTGTGTTTTTCAAAAACAGTAAAAGTCATTATAAAAAGTAAATTTTTTGGGACAAAATGTGTTTATTTTTTGTAGTCGAAATTCAATTCATTTGTGCAGGTTTTATAAAACTTTTTCAACTGTCGAAATTGCGTAGGTCTTGTTCTAAGTAACTTGAATTGATAAACTCAGCAACGTGTTGTAGTTCCAAAGGCAAGAAGCCGATAGAAAAGTGTCTAGCAATCAGCAGAAGTTTTTTTAAATTATTTTGCTTAATTTCGTTTAATTCATTAATTCTGTAGATCGCTACTTGAATGTGCTTTTCAGCATTGTAATTAATTTATCCGCTTCATCAAGATTTCATAATACAATTCCGTAACTATTTTATCGTATGTTTTTCAAGGATTCAATAATTTAGTGCACTAATTAATTATTTTTATACGTTGGTTGTTTCAAATGTTGAATTTCCAGCTCAAACCTCGATTGCATTGGGTTAACACTTCCCCAAAGGTAAATAATTCCTTGAGTTAGCGGTTGTTATCAGGCAGCATTTTCCGATTCCCTGGTCTACATTAGGAATCTAAAAGCTAAAATCCCAACATGGCATAGACACTACTGCATGAATACTTAATGTGCTTCTTTCGAATTAGGCCCCGCTGTTAAAATCCCTTTTGTCAACATTTGTGATTCATACAGTGGGATCACTTGAGTTGTTTGTTTAAAGTCTACTTTTTCAACAATCATGATTCTTGAATCAGTATGCTTCGATACGTTGTGTATGTGTTAGTGAAGGTGGTTTTACTGATTTCCACGCGCTTGATTTAACGTTTTAGTTTATTATGGGTGATAAAGTTACCATTCGACTGGCTGCATTGAAGCATAGATATAGAAAAGTAAGACTGAAAGAAGATTTTTCGTGAATAATGTTTCGCTGCACAGATGAGACGTGCGAATCCCGAACGAATCAAAGGACCATTTATTTTCCTTTGATTTGCGTCCCTTGTATGTACAGATTTTCCTGCTTGTTCAAATTTTTTAAATTGCGTCTAAATGTTTGTTAATTTGCATTATTCGTTCATTAAGGCGTACCGTTTTCAAAGTGAATTTCGCTTCATTTTGTTGTTTTTCTCCCTATTCCTTGATAAAACCATGTGGAGCACAAGCGAAGCACAGGACCATTTATTTTCCTCTGATTTCCGTTCCTTGCATGTACAGATTTTCCTGTTTGTTATATTTTTTTTATTGCGTTTCCAGTTTAAAATTTTGAGTAATTTGCTTTAATATACTTGTCCAATAAGGCTTCTTTTGAAGGTGAATATCGCTAAATTTTGTTGTTTGCTCTTGTTTTCTGATGAAACCAACTATGTGTGCGTGTTAGTCAACTTTAGCGCTAAAATTGAATCACCCGCCGCCGCCTATTCATTTCATATAAACTACATGATAAACTACAGGCAATTGTTTGTATATTACACAATGGCTATTTCTGATAATTCATTATTAAATCAGGTTTATTGCACGTAGGTACAGATATTGTTTTGTGGTATTTTCAACATCCGACGGGGCGATTTGTATAGTGTATTAAAACATTTTTTTTGGTTTTGAAAGTGAACAATTTATATATTCCATGCGCGTCTCTCATTTGGAATGAGTCGATCTAATCAAAGATTTTTTTTTAATACTTATAAGTGCATAAGAAAATGTGTTTTATAAATTCCAACGTGTTCAGACTTTCACTAGTCAGTGAAAAACATTTCTGGTCAGTGCATATTAAATTGAAATTAAATTAAAAGTGAGTTGTTAAGTTTCCGCTGTTACAGTCGAAATCATTTATAAAGAATCTATAAAACGATATTTTCCTATGGCTAATTCCGATATCGTTGCCAAAAAGCTATTTTATTCTTGAGCCAAATTGATACTTTTCGGCTAATCTCGAATGCAACTGTAAAAAAATTATACCCGATGTTTGCCTTTTAGACTATTTTTCAGACAAAACTTTCCTTAAAATTAATATTAAACAATTACAACAATTAATATGGTTTGAGTGAAAATATAAAGTTTTCTGCAGCATTTAGTTTTTCGTTACCTACAGTGAATTGCAGTTTTTACATTTTTGATCTATTTATTGCCCAAAAAATAACGAATTTATCAATGTTTAATAAATAAACGATGAGCTTGGACCTAAAAATGTTTAGTATTTTTGTGTTACTAAAGCAAATTTATTTAATTTTGCGTAATTTAAGTAATATTTAGGCACCTTTATTGAATTTTTAAAGCTGACATAGTAATTTGAAAGATTAAAGAAAAAATTACTACCGTCACTAGCGGTATTTTCACTGTTTTAACTGGAACTTTAGAACCATGAACAGAAATATTTTTAAAACGCCCGATATTTTCTGGTTGACCTTTTTCTCGTTCCACGTTAATTAAATAACACTCTTCTAAATTGTCATCGGAATGCTAATTAGTGTGGCATTGTTTTGATTTACCATCAATATGTGTTAATAGTCAACTCAGGTTCATATCGACAATCGAACAATAGAATATTGTTCAATTTTTCGAAGAATTATTCGAATGAAATGTTTGTGATTAGTAGAGTTCGACAATCAATTTACATTCACAACTTATAGATATATTGGGAGTTTAATCCCATTTGGGCACTTTTTATCGTTTTTTGTTTTAAGGGTTTAAGACCTAAAACGGTGGAAATGTTGATAAAGTTTTTTTAAACGAACTGTATTTTTTCCAGGTTATTGCCTTTATATGCGGTGTAATCGTGCTGCTGTTGATGATAATGGCGCTGGTTTCAACCGATTGGTTGATGGCAGCTGGATGGCGCCAGGGTTTATTCATGCATTGCATAGAAGAAAAAGCACAAGAACCCTTACCTTTTAACACTAAAGGCGGCACTGGTTGCTACGCTGCCCGAGATGTTGGTGTGTATTATTTAGGATTTTAATATTAAATTAAGCTGTTCCCAATAGAAAGTTCTGAGACCTGAGCACCATTTGTGACCCAAAAGCAAACTAATATCTTATCTATTAATTTTTTTCCAGCATACATAAAAGCGTCAGCTGCCTTATGCGTAATAACATTGCTAACTGATCTGGTTGCTACCGTTCTAACGGGATTAGGACTGCGAACCAAAGATCATCACACCAAATTCAAGTACTACAGATTTGCGGTAATTGTTATGGGACTATCTCGTAAGTATGATTTTAGACGGAAGTTCTTGGGAGCATTTAATGCGGATAATTTGTTAAAAAAACATTTTTTTTTTCAGTTGCAGCAATTTTAATTGCCCTGATCATATACCCTGTATGCTTTGCCGCAGAGCTTAATTTAGGTAAGTCAATAAAAGTTGGGTGATTAGATTTACCAATTCATATTAATTGGGTTGGAAATGAGGCAAATTGCGTTATGTGAGCATTCGAAATGTGATCAGTTTTTCAGCTAAAATTCAATTTTACTTATTACGAAACACAATGCGAAGTTTCCACTAGTTTGATTGCATGTTGCAAAGCTCTATGGATTAATCACTGTAAAGTGCATTTTTCCATTTAGTTGTTTTTAATTGGAGTAACAAGTTGAAGTTAAGGAAATGAAAAAGAACAGTACGATCTTGTGTCGCCGGTTTTTTGAATGCAGCATTCAATCCATTAAAGGGCGATGAAGGGTGTGACGAACATTTCGAACGAACGAAAAAAAGTTTGTAATCAATCTAATTTTCCCAAATAACAACAATGTATAAAATAGACTGTCAATTTCAATAATTATCCAAAGTTCTTTATCGGCAATAGTTTTAATGAGACTTAAAGTGCGCAATTGAAACAAAATCAACCTAAACCGATTACAAACCTTTTTATTCCACTCGCTCCAGGGCTTTTAGATGAAATTCAACTAATAGGTAACAAATTCAATATTAGAACTGCCTTTAAAACCGAAAATACAATTTAAAACAAAACCTCATGACAGAATTCAAAATAAAAAAACTCACAAAATTCCTTATCAGGATGATAAATTTGTGTCGCCGGTTTCTTAAATGCATCATTCAAGCATTCAATCTATTAAAGTCGATGGAGGGTTTGACGAACATTTGGGCGTTTTTCGACACCAGATAAATTGATAATTGTTTTGTTCAGAAATTACTTATTTTTTTATAGTAAAGGCTTTTTAAGGCCTTAGTAAAAAACGGCCTTAAAACTTTGTGATCTAGTAAAAATAGTTAGCAATCAATCTAATTTTACCAAATGAAAACAATTCATAAAAGGTGCTTTTAATTTCAATAATTATCCAAAGTTCTTTATACAATACTTTTAATTGCGCAATTGAAACAAAATAAAAATAAACCGATTACAAACCTTTTTATTCCATTTACTTAGGCGCTTTCAGATGAAATTAAACTACATAGTAGGTAACAAATTCAGTATTAGAACTGTCTTCACAACCGAAAATACAATTAAAAACAAAACCTCATGACAAAATTGAAAGCCTTGAAAAAAAATTAAAACATCAGACATAAATAAAAAAATAACAATCAGATATTTGTCGACTTGCATTTGAGAATTGGCTTAAAATTCAAAGTGATGCTTGAACAACTTTTGCAAAAAATACACCAAATTCTTCACAATAGCAACCAAATTGCACATTAATTAAATCTTTTTGACTTATTTAGGTAACCGAACGATATGGGAGTTCGGATGGGCGTATGGAGTGGGCTGGGGAGTAGCCATCTTCCTCTTCAGCGGCGTCGTTCTGCTGATGTGCGATAAGGAAAGTGAGGAAATTTATTACAAAGAACGGAAAATCGTGCACGATAACGATTCGCGCGCCTAGTGGCCACATAGTCTGCCCGACGTTGTCCTCTGATCTTAGAGGGTGGCGACGTGTCGCTTCTCTCCGAGGAATAAATGCTATTGAGGTGAATGAGCGGTTCCTCTAAGGTGCTTTGACCTTTTAATGCCTGCATTTAAATGTGGACGACAAATAGCATCCACTAGATATCAATGAACGAGCGAAAATCATTGTTTTTTTGGAAAACTGATACAAACTTGTTTCCTAATTAGTGTCTGTTAAAAGGCTTGAAATCAAGCACTCCTGAGGAACCAGTGTGACTGTTGCTTGCCTGAAATTGAATGTTTACCTGGTCAGTTTGATATGAAGACCATGTTAATTTATTCGGGAATTTTCGTACAAACTAGATTGTGTAGTAAACTTTCACTTTATGTTCCGTGTATTAACTTATTTTTTAGAATTAGTTGACGATTAAATGCCGATCATTTGGCTGGTTATTTGCAATTTACACAACCCAGTTCCCTAATGAAAGTCTAAAGTGATATTCATTCATACACTTTTGTTAAAATACGATATTTTTTACTTTATCATACTGTCAGATATTTCGATTCAAATGATTGGCATTTGCTTTCAGTGGGCGGATGAATAGTTTAGCAAAGCACTCGGTGATCTCTCTATCATAAGACTAATATATTTAAACACTTCAAGGTACCAAAATTTTTATAATATAAATATTTAACCGCTAATCTCAAGTATTAATTCGCCCAACTCTGTGACATAAATGTAGTGTTTCGCATTGATTTAAGGAAGCAAAAATGTTGGTCAAACTGATTAGAAACCTTTATTTAGGTTTATCCTTATTATTTAGTTGCTCGAGGATTGTATGGTGAAATACAGATTTCAAGTCCCATTTTTTTGCGCAGGAAACTGAAATCGTTGTTTTTTATCGTACAAATGCCAGTCAGCCGTTTTGAGTTGTTATCATTTGTGCACCTTCGATTGCAAACGAATTACTTAATACTTTTCCTTTTTAATCGTTTTTTTGTGTTCTGTACAGGTAAAGTGTTGGGTAATTATTTGCCGCCGATCTGTTAAAAAGAATGATTGTAGTGCGTCTGAGAGGCAACCCGGGCAGGCTAGGTGTATGGATTTAAGAGTCATTATTTCGATATTCGATGTTGGAAAAATCCTATTAAAATCAGCTGATTTTTTTTCAATCTTAAACAATATGTTTAAGAACTGATTTAATTACTGATCTTAATACCGGTTTTTCAGCTAACAGTGTATAAATTCGTTTATATGGTTTGACTACTTGGTAAGTCCAAATTTATACAATTAGATTAAGTGAAAATATCATCTAATATTATACAAAGCTTACCATTTCGACAAAATTCAAACAAAACATATTGTTTCCTATATTCGTCCTGAAACATATTCAATTTTGTCGTAATGGTAAGTAGCCACAATTGTAAGCTTTATACCTATTGCCAGAGGAATGATTAGTTCTCGAATACTATGTATATTATAGTTTAATAGTTGGGATAGTTATCTTATACACATTTGCATTTAGCTGACTAATTATTAAGTAACAACGGAAGCTATTCGCGAGATAATACAAAGATGGATGGATAGTGACTGTTGTAATTGGGTGTAAACAACGCTCCATTTTCAACATAATAGCCGGTGACTGCTGTAAATTAATAGAAATAATTGTCCTTGTTGATAAGTAAAAATATGTCTACCGTTGATATTTCTTCCCGTATAATGTGGCTGAATGCTTTTGATTTTTAAAACTCCATAGTGTCCGAACATAAAGCGTTCAGTATCGTTTTGTGATAAATCGAATTGATCTTTTTCATGGTGGATACGTTTAATGAACCTAAACGAAGCATATCCTCAAATCTGTAGATATTAATTTATAATATACTAACATAATGAATACTCACAAGCACGTATATTTCTAGTCGAAATCACCGTATAGCATATTCCAAGTAATTTTACAATATCAACAATGAAGACGGTTTTTCCGATTAATTTCCTATACAAGACATTGTTTTAGTGAAGACCAATCGACGGGGATTTAACAAAAATCCTCATCCCATTTTATTGTCGATATTCACACACAGAAATATACGTTGTTTATTACTGGCTTTTTATGAGGGTAAGTTAAAATTATTAATTGTGTCATTGGCAGCTAGTATTTGAAAAATCGGACCAAAATAGCCTAATTTACCAATACTTACCCTTTTATTGTACGTTCCCCGACATTCCTATAACTATATAAAATCTGTACATAAATTTGAAAAAAAAAACCTATTCAGCATTTGAAACAGCATAGCGATGTGATATAACTTATATGTAAATAAGTTAGTTTTAATAGTTAACCATTAATTTATTATAGGGTTATTTTGTGGATCATATCACGTCGCAACCTTGCAGTTATATACCTATTTTAGGCAACCTTTATCGACAATTCGAGCTGAAGAAACGCTGCCATAGTTTGAAATGAAGATTTTTCTCACGTGTGACCGTTCAATTGTATATGACTTTTTGTTATTGTAACGGCGAGATAATAAAGTGTAATTTGTACGTATGCTTTTAATTTTTATTAGCTTGTCAACGATACCGTCATACAAAATACTGTTTTACACAACCCTAAAATCCTGATAACGAATGAAAAAACTATACTGCCTATTAACACTTTAATCCATCAAATATTGGGAATTTCTTACCTTATATCCACTAAACCTACATGTTATTTACATCCTCATTGACAATTGTGCAATAACATACAAACTGTCAATCTAAACTTGAATAATTAAACTAAACATGTATAAAACAATGCTCGAATATATACCGATGGATGAGAAATTGTTTTATTAATGGCTTCTATTTAATCATACTTTGTATTCTATTTAAATACACTTTGATTTATAGCATTTTTCACATAACGTGCAACCACGAATTAAATTATCTGCCAAAAGATCAAACTAAAATAATGAAAAGTGCACGCAATAGATTTGGCATGTTACCTGAGCACTTTTGCTTAAATTAATATGCAATAAGAGTACAAAAACTGTTACAATAATAAGCGTTAAAATTGGCTAATTAAGTTCAACATCCTGTAGCTAAAGGCTTGCTTTTAACAATTAAATATATATACGGATTATACAAGTATTGCATTATACGAAACAGGTTTTAAAACTGTTTAGTAATTATATTACAAAAATATAAACATGTCAGAATTTCCATGTATTTTGTAAAAAGATCATGAACCCGTTGAATCGGTGTACGTGCAATTAGAGCACTTTGAATCAGCAAAACTATTTCATCTGTTACACAGGAACGATAAGTAAGTGAAGTGGACTTCTTCGCCTATTCTGGAAATTTAAGTCTTCTAAATAAATGTGGTTTCGGTATGTACAGGGTGTCGGCAAGAAAACAGAAATAATTTTTTAACGCAAAAACTCTGAATGCTACAAGATTTTACAAAGGGCACAAAAATGTGAAGAAATGATTAGTGCATGAACTAAGAAAAAAATGAGTTGATTCCATCCATCAAATAAAAATTTCGGGTATTTTTTGTACCACTACACTCAAGAATTCATCACTTGCCCAAAACAGATAAACTCGATTGTTTCATTAAAATATGAGTCTTACATAAGAACAAATTCACTGCGAGCTGCACTGAAATACCTCGTACCATTCTCCGGCTATTTCAGAACATTTTTTTTGAAGAACTTTGAGCATCAATAGCAGAGAAGCCAGACATTTTTTGTTAATAAAAGTTAGGTCAGATAGTCTTCTTTTGATTCAAAGAATATCGCAGTACCCTTTTGATCAGGTGCTTACGGGACACCCCGTATAAAGCGGAAGAACAGAATGCGAATTTGAATTTTTTTCTGCCGTTTTAAAATAGTGCACGGAAAATAAAATTGTCCAAACTGTGTTCGGTTGCTATTAAAATAAAAAGCTAACCAATTAATTGTACTTACATCAAATATGTATTGGAACGTGAACTAATAACTGTCCTCTATCAGTAAAAACTTCGTCACACATTTCGCATTTAAAAATGTTGTTAGTTGCACTGTTAGCATGTCTCATGGAAATTTCTGCCAGCTCGTGAAGTGCACTTGGATCCATCAGTTCTCTTTTGATATTTTGCATCTTGGAGGTATATTCCGATATATTCTCTGGTGCTTCTGAAACGACATCGTCATGCTGATTTTGATTGTCTGAAATTGAAAAGTTTTCATGGAAAGTAAAGCCGGGAACTGATTCGAAAAACCCACTGTGGTGTTCGTCTTTCACGTAAATTTGATCAGTATGGTGTATATCTGGCAAAATAGATTCGGGTTCATTTTGGGACTCACTGGACCGTCTAATTTTTGAAACGACCATGCCTTCTTTGACCAATCTTACTTTGCTACCTAAAATTATACAAAATTCCTTTACAGGCAGAAAATTATGCCAGCACAGCAGTTTTAAATTTATTTATTTATTGATTATCAGCAAATTTGCACTATTCAAAACTCAAATCCTAAAAGCCTACCAGGACCAATAACATTTCTAGAACTTCGAGTGCTATTTCTTCTGGTCCGTACTTCTACAAGGCTAACTGGGACTGGCACTTCAGTCTCTACGATTTGCTCAGCGGCAATATCCGTTTCTTCCACAAACTGTAAGGAACAAGAAACTTGGTTAAATTGCTCAACGTCAGTGTAAATGACTGTACCTCTTCTGTTAGCACTTCCCCATTGGCCGAATCGTCAACAGTTTCCCTTAATAAATTTTCGACGGCTTCTTCTGTCTGATCGTCGATTGGGAAAGTGGCCAACGGCAGTTTTTCTGCATTCAATATATGATAATTGACGTTTTTAGTTCTCGGTCTGATGCGTTCCCCTAGAAAAGCAAAGTGCGAGATTTGAGACAAATACTTCAAAAAGAACCGAAAAAGTTGGCAGCCGACGGAACCAAATAAGAGCACTTACCTGTAGATGATTTTATTTCAGCTGGTTGTGTCCTGGTAACTAAAGTTCGAGTTTTATGTCGAATTCGTCCATCTTCTCCAGTCTCAACTGGCACTCTGGTTTTTTGAGTATGGATCATTTTCGGCCTTGACGGAATGGGGACACCCTCGTTTATTTTTTTTTTAGTATACTTCACTTTAGAAGTGGGCGATTTGGGAAGCAATACTGAATCATTGCTTTCGATTGTATGTAAGCTATTGTAGATCTCCGATACCGATTCGCTAATGCTTTAAAAAAATGAGCAAATAAGTTAATTTTTCCGAATAATTAACATCAAATGGGTTTAATTTAGATTTTTCGCAATAATCATTAACATTTGCTACCTTGCTTTAGGCGATGAAGTCGACACTTTTCTCACAGACGCCTTTCTCGTGCGCCGCCTTACTTCGGGCTCCTCTTCGGATAATTGATTTTGATACTCTTGATCCACAGCTTCTTCTTGTCTGGCATTGTACCTCTCTTCGGCCAGTTGATTGTGCGCTGCAATAGAATCCAACTCATGCGGCTTGAGTTTTCGCCTAAAATCAGAAGTAGTACTTCTTGGGGGTGAATTAATAAAATTATTAGAATGGACGCTATAGAAAGCGTAATGGGTAATGGAAAAGATCGTTGATCTTGCTCACCGTCGTTTGTATTTACGCGGGCCAACTTGTGGCTGCCTTTTCATTGCAGTGTTCATGTCGCAGTGATGAATCAAATGCAATATTAGGTCCTGTGATGTAGCGAACATATCTGAACACACAGTGCAGCAGTAAGGGGTCATGCTATGAGAGTATTTCGGATCGGGGCCTGAATGATGGGACCTACAAATTTTGTTGGTTTAGAAACTATTTTGCAATCATTCTGGAAACAATTGCCTGATGTGCTCCCTGAGAACCACTCGTTGGTTAAAAGCCCGAGGGCATACGGCACACGCATAAGGTTTTTCTCCGGTATGAATTCTTTCATGTTTTCTTAAAGTTCCGCCATCTGCGAAAGCTTTCCAACAAAATCGACACCCATACGGCCTTTCACCTGAAGAAGCCAACGGTCAATATTTATAATCAGTTTTGGAGTTTTTTTAATAATTACCTGTATGGATGCGAATGTGTATTTGCTGGGAACTTCTCGATCCAAAAGTTTTCCCGCATTCTTTACAAGGAAACTGACGCCCAGATATGCTGGTATGACTATGTCTGTGATTCATCAAACTACGACCGTCCGCAAAATCTTCGCCGCACACATCGCAAGTGACAACTTTGTTTCTAAAAAAAATCCAGCCGTAAATATGCGGCGACTCAAAGCGACTTGTTTTGTAAAGTTATACCTGTGTGAAAGCATGTGCCTTTTTAGCCGAGCCCTATTATGAAAGGTCTTGCTGCATCTTGTGCACCCAAATGGTTTATCCTAGATAATAAAGAATATACATTTAGATAAGCAATCCCCTGGAAAGTCCAGTTGCAATTACCTTAGAGTGCTCCCATGAATGTTTCAGTAAAGTTCTGCTATCCTTACAGGTGCGACCACATAAAATGCAAGTATGTGGAGGCAAATTCTTATGAGCACTCTGGACATGGTTTGATAGAACCATTTCTTCCAGGCAAACTTCACCACAAATCATGCAGCGATATTCTGACCCACGAGCATGCACCTCTGCGTGTGCCAGAAGATCTAAGGCTTCCTAATGAATAATTTTAATTAAAAAAAAAACCTCCTACAGCTCGTTTGTTTTGATGAAGTCAATATTAATAAATAAACATGGTTTAAAATGGGATTACCTGAAATGATTCTCCGCACACGTTACAGATGTGACCAAGTTCATTTTCATTCACATACTCCTCTTTGATGTGAATTCTGCTATGTCTGCGTAAGTTGTCCTGTCTGTGGAAAGAAAGTCCACAAGTAGGACAGTAAAATGTTCCATATTTGGTTTCTTCCGAGTCAGAATAATCCTCGTCTTCGTCGTCATCGTAATCCTCTAATTCTCCATGTTTTGTCCGGGCATGTTCCTTTAAACAATCGAAACACAAAGCTAGAAATATTGCTTCTTGAAAGGTTCAAGTGAACGTAAACGAAAAATGGAGGACTTGGACTCACATGTTTCATTCCTGCCTTTTGAACCTTGTTCATTGAAACTTCACTTAATAGTTCAGAAAATGTTAAATCGAAAATTAATTTTAGCATTAAATATAAGTTGACAATGTCACAATATCGGTTGTCATTGTTTAAAGCCAAGCGAAGAAACCAGTTGAGCACAATTATGTATTCTCAGGTAATTATATCAGTTTTATTAGGAAAAAAATAGTCCACCAACCTGCATAAGGGCAATATCCCAAAACATTTCGCCACATGTCTGACATTCGAAGGGGCTGTCGCCTCCATGTACTCGGGCATGTGAAGCCAATGCTTTTTCCCGTGCAAAAGCCACCCCACAATGTTGACAAACAAATGGTTTTTTTGGATCCGTAACAGGATATTTTATTTCATCCTGATTCGATATATACTCGCTGTTACTTTCCGCTTCTCCAACCATATAGTTAATATCGCCCGACTCAGTGTATTCAAACTGAGCGCTTGAGGAAGCTGTAAGAACTAAATTGTAATACTGTGTGCATTGCTAAATAGTAATTCTTAATACCTGTATCCGCAGGTACAAACACACTTTCGTATTCGTCTTTTACGGGCTTCTTGCGTTTCCGTTTACCATAACCCCGAGCTTTCCTCTCAGCCCTATCAAAACCATCCTCAACCAATGAAGTGTCTTCGTCTTCTAAAAGTCACAATATAATAGTGGAGATAAAAAACACTAAATGCACAATATTACCCTCTATTGGCGCATTGTCTGAGATATATGCATGGCTTTTTAGATGGTTCATTAAATCCGCTTTTCTCACATACCGGATTCCGCATAGGTTACAGCCATGCGGGCGATCGGTTTGATGTGCCACCATATGGTTCATGAGATTTGCTTTTTTTCTAAATCTGGAATTAAATTTTATCGGGTGTAAACTTCTGAAAAAATTAACGATCAAGAACGTGGTAAATGGTAATCGCTTCAAAACACAACGGAAAATACATTTTCAAACTATAAAACCTTCCAGCCGCGCACCGCAAAACGTTCCGGAAAGGAATGAAGGTTTTACCCCTAAAATTCTCACAACAATCTCACATATTTAGATTCTAAATTTCATAGGAATATCTCGAAAAAGCATTATAATTCATTTTTAGTGATCAAATAAGCTAAAGAACACATATTTTAACACTGTTAAAAATTCATTTGAAATCATAAGAAATCTGAAGTGCGTCAGAAACACAACAATCTGAAGAGAACTAAAAAACGACCAAGAAACCTGGTGTAAAAAAGTGAAAAATGAACAAGACAACGATTTCAAAATCAAATGATATGAAAATGTCCACAAGTATACCTTCGGCTGCAAAAGTCGCATGGATATGGTCTGGCAGCTGTATATTCGTCTTGGTCTGTCGGCAATGGAATATCGTCCTCATCTCCAGGCGTTTGACTGCCTGTAGCACTAACAGCTTCTTCAGATCCCACGATTATTTCTTCCGGATAGCTTTCACCTGATGAAAAACATCGTTAGTTAACTTATAGGCCAAGTATCTTGGCTGTATTTTGACTTACCCCACTGGTCGGTTATAACTTCCTCAGTCACTTCCATTAGCTGATCTTCGGAATAGGCCTCTTCTTGATTTTCTTGCATGACTATGACATTACCGTCTGAAACAATTTTCTCATTTACTCAAAAAAACAAGTTTGAGATCAACGCTTGTACCTGAGAGATATACCAGTTCCCCATCTTGCTGTTCTAAAACCTCCTGATCCAGCTGGGAGTTGTCTTGAACAACCTGCAACAATAGATTAATTAAATCGTTTCACGAGCTTACCAGAAAATATGGTACCTCTTCCTCAACCATTCCGACATCGTCTACTAATTCTTCCTCCATGACATTTTCAACTTCGTCCATAAATTCCTCCGATTGGGACGGAATTATTTCATTTTCTATCGTTGTTATCACCTCCTCTGTTTGCACGACCGTAGTCGCGTCCTCCCAAGTTAGTCCAAACGTTGCGTTTTCCATTTTGATCTCAAATCATTAGGATTATAATCATCATTCCCCACCTAGACAAATTCACATATAAAGGATCGTAAAAAAGTTAAATAACTCTGACTTAAAACTGATTCAAAAGAAAGATCTAAATTTCTCTGAAAATTTCAAGTTAAAGAAAAACCATAAAGCTAATTTTGGGTATCGAAGGAATCTAGAAAGAAACAAAGAGTAGGAAACTGAAATGTTCCAAAATTCCTGAATATTTTGCGAAATTTGAGGGAAAAGTCAACATAAAATCACTTTTATACCAGATCTATTGAGCTGGACAAATTTGTTATGCATCTTAAGAACGCCGACATAAAATTACATTAAGTGTCTAAATTCGTCTTAGTTGCTAATTAACGTGGCTTCTATTATTCATGTGCAACAGACTGTATAGAATACATTTCACGCTGCACCAAAAGCATTCCAATCGATTATGGGATGATTATTCTCAATCGGATAATCAACTATTCATAACTACTTCGAACGAATAACGCCAATTTTTATTTCTTTGTCAATCGGGGAAAATAAACAACAATAAGAAACTAGCGGCAACTTGAAGCACTTGCGACTCAACAACCAGCAAAAAAATTATATGATTCTGTTGGAGAGTAAATGAGTTTTATTTTTGAGGACAGAATGAAGTGGCTGTCGTTACTAAAAGCGGAACGAAAATGAGATGGATTTATTCTATTCTATTCTATAACAAATAAATCAAATCATTTTCTTAAATCAGTTCAAGTTTTTTGCCTGGAGATTTGGCGGAAGGAGTAATTTTTGACCTAATTAAATAGTGAAGTTTATTAATAATTTCTGAAAAACACTACCCCTACTCTACCTCATTTCAACCAAACATCGCATTGGAAGTGTAAAACTCAATTAATTAGAAGGGGATCACCGGACTTAAACATTTTACGTTTTTTTTCAAACTTTAATAAGATAAAAGTGCCAATTCCCAAGATAAATAAGAGTCTCATCGGTTCTACACAAATTATAGGAGATACTAATGATCAAAGCAGCTTAGAGAAAAATGAATCAAAAGGCTATTTTTGCATCAGAATAGGATTCCATAAAAGCCTCATACGTTGTTCTCTGTTCTCTCATAATAAGTAAACGTGAAAATAATAAAATAAAATATAATAAATAAACGTGAGTGTTCCGAAAAACGATCGGACACGAAAACGACGGTAAAAACCAAAACTTTTTACACAGGGTGTCATATGATAGTGGTCTTAAAATGGTAGTCACACCTTCAAAAATTTCGCTTGCTCAAGACCTACGAGGAATTATAAAAAAATTAATAGTTTCAAAATGGTCCTATATTTTCTCAGGTAAAAATGACAGACAAATGTTATGTAAAATTTTCTTGTTAATGATTGGTGATTGATCTGCTATTTTCGGAATGAGTATACGGGGTCAGCAAAAAAAATTATCGGATTTACGATCACAAACGATCTCTCTAAAAATACCTATAACATTCAAAAATATTTTTTCAAAAATATAACACATGATGAATGTATTGGCTTATCGGTCGATTTATTTAAACTTCATTACTTAAATTAAAGCGCTAAAGACATATGAAACAAAACATATATAAACGATTGAACTTGGGACGAGTACGGCTTCTAACGGTATCGAAATATACAGGGTGTTTAGCTTTAAAAAATACGCTTTTATCATGTAACTTTTTTGAAACTCCGTATGTTTTTTACCAGTAATAAAGGTGCTATAGAAGAACTATTTGACAGTTTTACCGTGGATCTCAGGAATAAATCGACAAAGAAAAAATATAAAAGTACCAATATTCTTTTTGAAACGAGGGACAACACCCGTCGCGGTTTCTTTATATCTGCTATGGTTTTCTAACTAAAAACGGCCAATTTCGGCCACCCTATACATGAAAATATTCAAAATTAAAAAAATGGGCACGGTTCTACGACACCCTGTTTTTTGGGACACGAATTTATTCCATTTTGCTGTTATAAACACCGTATAATGATGAGGAACAATCAATGGGGGGTGGAGAATTTTAGGACGGACGAGAAACTGGGACTAGATTTACAACATTTGAATGCAAAAGACGCAATTCTCATTCTTATGTCTGACTCCATTGCTGATTTGTCGCAAATATTTCTAGGACTGGGGGAGAAGATAGTGATATCTAAGGCTAAATATCAATTATGGTTTATTATCGGATAAACTGCAAACATTTCGACACGCAGATAATGACCGTCTAGAGCTGGAAGCAGATTATAATAAACTCGTATGAGAAAAATTACTATTTCGAAAATTTTATGATTTTATTTTCTTAGGGATGGCGGCGGGTAAAATCGTGCTTGCAACCGTTAACGTATCTTTTGCTATTTATGTGCAGTAGAATCTGGTCAGAATAAAGACAACTCAAATTGAAACCTGCTTCTAGACAAATCTGCCACTTTATTTAATGCAATTTCCATTTAAAAGAAATGGAAAAATGGGGTTTTTATGTAAAACTGTAGGAATAAAAAGGAAGCAATTGCACGAAAACTACCAAAAAGTTGAAGACATTTAGGGCTCAAAATCAACAAATAATTGGCATGCCAGTGGCCAGCAGACAACAAAGGGTCATCATTTTGTGTAAGGCCGAAGCATGAAATGCTGAAACTTATTGATTTCTCCTTCACGAATGATCAGCGACCATCATCAAAATGGTGGGCGACTGAATGGGGCCCTTCGTCTTGAACCACGTTGCGACCAACTAGATGGTGAAAAACTGGTAATTCGAGAAAATAACGGCAAAACGGCCCCAAAATGTAAGGTTACAGGCAAATTTCTGACAAACTAGGTTATGCGAAATCAAAAATGAGGTTACTGTGCCGTAGTTTGCTTTAAAGTGTAAACAAAAGCAATATTGCAATATTAACAATACATTTAAAGCCCAAGTGAAATAGGAAAGCTTCGATTTAAGTGGGTCCGTATGGTGACGAACGACAGCATCGTCCATTACCGAAAATTTTCTAGTGGAGAAGCAAATGTTAATTACATCACAAGGTTTTCACGAGTTTGTGACGTTACTGGATAAATAATTTATTGATTTTTCACCGTAATGTGCTCTAGAGAGCGATATTAGTGCTAAAAATTAATACTTACTCCAAAATATACCAGGTAAAACCTAACCAAGAACTACAATCGACAGCGTCCACAGCTTTGGTGAGTAGGCAAATGGCTGCTCTCGTTTGACGTCCGGAATTAGGGAATTTGACTTCCGCGAAGACGCAATTTTCGCGTGTCGTCCTTCTGCCTTAAGCCAGGTACTCTGTGGGCTCAAAATAATCCCCAAAATAATTTTCCTTTCTGTTTTTACCTCCAAAATACCGGAAGATATAGGTTATAGGGAAAATTAACCTATAATTCACCAACAACAACCGCTAAACATCAGCCATTTTGCTCCGCCCTTTCACTTCCGTTTGACCGCCAAAATTCAAATCGTTACTTTCACCATTAATTTCTTCTAGGCATATCACGTAGCTTTGCAATTTTCGTCGTTATTTTACACTTTCAATAGTCGATTTCTGATTATTTAGGCTGCGGTTAGTTTTGAATGTAGTATTTCAGATCGCAGTTTTACGTAATTGTTGCTGTTTGGCGCAGATTTGGAATTAACCGTTAATCTACGATTCACACCTCATTCAAAATAGGTTCACAGAGGTTTATGTTCTGCACTTGTTATTGAATGTTTCGGAAACGCAAACGCTAAAAGAATCATATGCTTTTACCACCACCATCTCTTTATCTATGTATCTAGCAGAGACAAGTCTTGTACTTGTACTTGTCTCTGGTATCTAGCTACCGCCATCAAACGCCGACCGGCGGATAAATTATAAACTACAGTTTAACTAGTCAAATTTGACACTTATTTTGATTAGATGTCATTGTGACTTATTTTGTTTAGTTCTGCTCAACTTTTGCAAGCTTTAAACAGATAGAAATACATTGGAAAGTGTGGAAGTATTTGTTTTACGATATAAACCTAAAACAAAGGTAAAAAATAGCATGTCAGGAAGCTATTACCAATATAATTGTGGTTTTTGCAGTTAACAATGTTGAGTATGGCGAGTAATGTTTACGTTTCGCAGCGGCCGATAGTTGAACTCGCGTATTACATATAGCTGACATTATATAATACTAGCATTAGTAGTGGCATACTAGTATTAGCTGTGTTAAACTAGTGTTACTAGGCCTATTATGTTATTATTATGCCTGTTACTATACCTATATGAGAGTTACTATATCAACTCTAATATGATTATAACAGTTCTCTGTGATCTATCACTCGTTACCCACGATACGAGGAATATCCATATTCCAATACACATTTCTTGTATCATGCATATCACTAATATATCTGCGATCGGACTAAAACAGTAAACGGGTGGATTTGTGCAATTTTCTGGCTGGAGCCACATTGGGATGAGCACCTTCGAAGGAATAGTGGAAGAAATACCTGGCATCAGTATCGACAGGTTCGATGGAATTAATACTGAATCCGCCGTGCTATTTCTATCGCATTGTCATACCGATCACATGAAAGGCCTGGACAATGAAAGAGTTCAATCAAGCATCATTGAAGACAACAAGTATCTATATTTAACTTCCATATCTGCAACCATTATAAAAAACAGATATCCAATACTTGCAAATAATCTAAAAGAATTGACAATAGAACATGCCAATTCGGTTCCTGTAGGTGATGAGTACATTTCGGTCACTTGCGTGCCTGCAGGACACTGTCCAGGATCAGTCATGTTCCTGTTTGAGACGAAAAATGCCTGCATTTTATATACAGGCGACTACAGAATGGCAGCAAGCGATTTCAAGAAGTTTAAATGCTTTTACGATGACTTTGGACTTGTAAAACGCATTGACAAAGTCTATTTGGATACAACTTTTTTCTTGGAATCGTACCAAACTTTTCCGAAAAGACAGGACAGTCTCGCTGCACTCTGCAAGATTATTTCAGATTGGACAGCAGCAGATCCAGAAAACTATGTAAGTCTGGATCTACCCGCCCAGTACGGATACGAATACGTTTTCAAGGAAATCTACTCGAGATGTCTGATGCCTGTTCACGTTAGTTCAGACAAGTTTGAATTTTACTCGAAAATTCCAGAGTTGGATAAATGTGTTACCACAAACCCATCTGTGACCAAAGTTCATAACTGGACTTATGACGGACCTTCAGGCAAAATACGTAGAATTAAACTATCAGCACTGCGCTGGACGAGTGACAACTTAAAGAAGGGAGTCATTGAAGTAGATCAAAATTATAAGTTCTATGTTTGTTATTCAACACACGCTTCATACCAGGAAGGTGCAGCTCTGATCGAGTTTTTAAAGCCAAAAAACATACATATTTGCGTAGAACAGTCTGATCCTGCAGACAATTTGGAAATGATGATACTTATCGATAAACACATTAGAAAGATTCAAGTGAAAGAAGGCAAATCACAATTTTTTTAAGCGAAGCCTTAAACCAGAATAATCTGCTGATAATAAGCACCAGAATCTGTCGCATTTGCCATCAAAGTAGCAGTTACTTCATGGAAAAATACGTTTAATTTCTCTTTGTGCAGTACAGGCGGTTCGGGCCTAAATCTCTCTGGATCAATCGAAGAAAAATAGTATAAGTCAATTTCTGTACGGCGTCCTGCAGAATTACGAGCCCTCACAGAAAGACTTGAGAAATAGTTATGAAAACTTTTCAAAATAATTAATTTAAAGGACTACTTTTTTGTATGACTAACAGCAAACAAGCATTAATACATACAGTAAAGCCAGTATTTTTTGTGTCATGAAGGCACAAGAGAGAGTTTCTAGATAGGTGCAACCCTTAACTAAAAATGTACTCGTGATGGATAAACCTAGAACAGGGCACAAATCAAACACTTTTGAGAAGGAACTATTTTTATTCTATTTATAAAATAGGTGGTTAGTTCGTCATGATGGCGAATGCGCTTTTTCTACCGCTCTTCTTTCACGAGCTTTATTAATGAATCATTTCTGCGTTTTTCAGAAGTTTGCAAGGCGTAAATATTCTTAAAAGTTTGTGATACAAAAAAGGAATTTCAATAAAGGCTTGTACCTTCGTAGAACGAGGACGTAGAGCTCTACTCCCACTAATTCTGGGACACCATGTATATTTGCCTATTTGAATTCACTGGTCAATTTTGATCAGATTCGATATCGGCAAAAAAACGACTTAACTCTTGCGTCAAATTTATATTTGTTGAGAAGTTTAATATACAGCTAGAAAACATTGGAATCGGATTGTGGTATTTTACGTTTTAGCAGTTTTAAACTTCTTGAAATTAATATTTCAAACATTATTTATATTGCTATGACTTCAGTACACATATTGCTTAAATTGAACTTTGTCAATCCTTTTTTGCTAATCACTTTCAAATTTAGACAACAAGAACAAGAACTACGTTGAAACTTTTAATTGATTTAAAACTTTGGCTGCATTCAACTTCTAATAATACTTTACGGTATTATTTAACCGTTCAGCGTCCAATTTTGCTAGCCCTTCGATTACAACACATTCTGTTTAAAAGGCAATAGTTTTGAAACTGTTCTATATAAAAAACTGAAGCAATCATTGCCTATTGGTTTAAAAAAATTATGCACTCTTTCGGAAAATTTACTCCTTTAATCACCTCGTTCAATACCAGGATGAAAAATGCACAATTGTAAACTACATATATATTTTTTAAGATATGCTTCATAAACATAAATAATACTAGAGGTAACTAACATTTAAGCAGCTTAACAAAATTGACTTGCGTTAAAAAAATTAAACAGCCACAGTAAGATTGTTATCCGCCTAGATAAAGCCATTTTGTTCCACTATGTAAATTTCAATGCCCCCAATGCACATTTTTGTCTGAAGCTGAATGCCTTGCTTAATATTTATGTACATCTAAAAAGGCCTCTCGGTGACTAACATCAATATAGTGCTTATTTTCTGAAAATATTTCATTCAACACAGTGGATTTGTGCAATGTAAATAGGAAAATATTTATATTATATGCTTGACTAGTATACACTTAAGATAAATCTGTATTTTCAACTAGAAAATAAATTAATGTTGGAGAACAATGGATCAGGTGGAATGTTATTTTAACTAAGTACGAACTGTGAATTCCCTAGTTATTGCACCGTACTGCTCTAAAGCATTTTGCTCCAAAGTGCAAGAAAATTGGTTAGAGTCTACTGGTAGGGGGTCCTGGGGTTCACATTGATCATTTCACTAGTACTGAAAACAATGTGGTTTTCATACACTTAGTTTAGTTTAGCAAAAAATTACCTTCGTCCACACTTGATATGAATGAGAAGTAGGGCAATTCCCAGGATTAAGCACACCACCCCAACTACAATGTAGGCAATTCCTAAGAATGGATTTTTGCCTCCGAGTAATGAAGTTGTACTTAAAATCATCCGCTTTGAGCCGTCGAAACTACTCACGTCATAGTCTGTAAATTCATTCCAAATAATGTCCTTTTATTGAGAATGTCTACTGCTTTACTCACTGTATTCTACAATTAGCAAATAACTTCCTTTCTGCAAACCATCGGTAAAATAGGGCTCAGAATGGTCAATTCTCCTATATAACTTTCTAAATGTCGGAAACGCCGCAGTTCTCATCCAAACAATCAAGTCTTCATTTTGAAAACCTGGTTTAAAACGTTGGTGTGATAGAAACGCAAAATTTTTAAACTGTTACTAACCATTGTTTTCAGGGTTTCGCTCATCTAGCTCATAGACAGCTTTAGTCCAGGCTTTTGGTTTATCAAAACTACTAAATGCTTCTCTCAGATCGCCGGGTGGATTTCGGAACTTGATATTTTTGTCCGAGTCCCATGCAATTCCAGTGTTAAACAATGTGGCATTGTGCCAGCTATTCATGTACATTGATAAATTGAGAACATCTACAAAGGACATTTTTTCTCAGAATAATTGCGACTAATTAATTTGAGGCGTTAAATTTACCATTAAACATGGAATTGGCTATTGCTCCACAAGGCGCAATAGGCCTTCGACTGGTCGTGTTAAAGTCAAAGGGTTTACAGTCGTGTATCGGGTCTACTCCTAAATTTCCCAAAAGTTGGTTGTCGTCCCGCGACTTAACATAGCGTCGATGGTTTTGATAAAAATTGCTCAAACCATAATACATAAAAACGTTGCCCTAAAAAGCAATACAAATACGTTTTGCCGCTTGCAGAAGTTTGAATTTTAGGGCTTAGGGAAGTGGATGTCCTTTTGAATATTAGGGACAACAAGCCATCAAACATTGAAACCTTAACTAAGACTGGAGTTTTGTTCCACAGGACTTGCTAAATTCCTCTGAAAAAATCGGGCTCCTACCTCAAAATGCTCAGTAAGCTCGAACGTAATTCTGCAAATACATTTTTGTTCAGAATCTGTGTTGGTGCTCAGAAAATCAATGCAAGTCTGGTTGGTTTGAGTCCATGAGTATTCGTTCTCTGAGCCATTCCAAACAGTTCTATTGCAATTGGTATAGTCGATGGTGTGTTCCTTGACCTCATCGGAGAAATACAGCAATCCAATCCCCACAGGAATGAAAGCTATCCCTATTACGAAGAATGTGGGCAAAACTGTGCCTGCAGTAAGGATTGGTTGCCAGGCAGGTAGCTTTTGCTGCTTAAATGCACTATCTGTAACATAAGGTTAATGTAGCCACTTAGGAGGGTTGAAGGAGTTTTTAGGTCATCGTTTTTAAGGTCATCACCTTGATAGTCTTATCAATAAAAGGGTGCAGGGTGGCAGGAAGTGCTTATGGGGTGGATTCCGAATTGGGATTATGTAGGGGTGGGACAACATAAGAATACCTTACCAGAGGGCTTCTTATTGATGGAACTATCAGCACTTTCTACCCCAGAAGCCATTAATCCCCGTTAATTAACAAATTTGTTTCTGTGTTCAATAATAAAACTGATTGATGTTTGGTTTGCTAATGAATGACGTTTGACGACACAACTACATAACACCTCTGAAGAAGCATAGAACTTGGGTTTCTTGGCTAAACTTGACAACCCCGCCAAAGGGCTGTATCGGATTATTCATTTAAAATGTTCGTTTATTATATTACTTATCAGTGATAAATACTATTTTCTAAGGATGAACAAACCGGTTCTAAGCAACGAAATTTTGAAGATTTTATTTTTATAAAGTCTTAGTTTCATCAGAAATACGAGAGCATTGTATTTTTTTATATCTATAACCAGACGAAAATCTGGCGAAGTTTAAAGGAATCAAAACAAAGTTTCTCGTTTATACGCATTTATCCACAAACAGCTACTTTTATTTGGAGAAAACTTTCAGAACCGCTTTCGTGCTTTAAGTGCTTAAGTTTTTACCCTTTTAATGCTACTGCACTTTACAGGTTTTTTTCTGCCGTTAAACAGCTCATTAACAAAACACACTATAGACAATCCAAAGCCGAAAACAAGAAAGTACAATATTCCCGATAACTTATCAATGTCGAATTTGGAGGTGACCATTTGATCCACGTACAAACTTTTAAAGCTTTTCAAATACCCATAGGCGGGTTTCCTCAACGTTAATTGCCTCCAATAGTTCACAATTCCGCTTTCTAACATGCTGCTGATTTTCCTGTTCAAATAGAGAGGAAATGGGGAATTTTTCTGGAACGCTATTGAACTGTAAAATGTGGCTAAACAGCCTGGAATGGGGCGAAGGTAGATTTTCGCATAGTCGTCCAGTTCCTCCGAACCACTGACGAAATCCTGAGCGAATCGTTTCACCAGAAATCCATATTGGCCGCTTTTAAGTTTCTTATTGATTTCCGTTCTGTTGTCTCCAATTCGGAAGTTTTGAGCTATTCCCATGCAAATGCTGTCGTTGGTCTTTTTTAGCCATTTTTGGATATCATTCTTCGGCTCGACCCATTGAGTTTGCTGCTCAACCATATCGGTGAACGAGCGAATGTAATTCTGAGAAAATCTCGGAAAACTCGATAGAACAGTCAGTTTGGCTGAGTAATAGGAAAAGAACAGGAAATGAAAAGTTACGATAATTACCAGGCAGATTCGCGAAGAAGTTAGCTGAAGTTTTAAATGACTTCCTGCGGACCTCTCGAATAACGCTTTAGCTTGCCAAAGATCAGTGATGAACACCTTATATATTATTTCCAAAACAGCGATAGTCAAAAGGCATGTAATGAACGTGTTAATATCCTGGAAAGCTTGGAATAAAAAGGTGTAGCTTTGTAAAAGCTTCGGTTTGTGCACCAGGAAAGTAACGCAAGTCGGAAACATTGCAGTGGAAAAATCCACATTTCTCTCCATTAACACTCTCTGCCATAGAAAGCAGAATGCAATATCCGACTGTTCTGTTTGCACAGATTCAATTGCTAGCAGGAATTTGTTCATCAAGACCCCTTTTTCATCTGGAATGATTTTATATTCTATCGGCCAGTCCTGGACCAGTTCATGTATGATCTTCTGCTCCAATCCTTCTAGGCCATTTTCGGTAGTTTCCACAAAGGGCGGGCAATGGAATGTGGTGATAACTATATTTCTCCCCGTGAACCTCAGAAAGTCTTTAGGGCTCCAAGTGACTAAAGGAAATGAAAAATTTTCACCCCGATGAACTTGTAGCGTCGTATTAGTTTGCAGATGGGTAACTTGCACTACCTTGCTACCTTCTGGGCTGCTGACTGCTAAAGGAAACAGCCCTCTTTCATAGAGGAGCTTGGAATCAAGAGTCCACTGAGATGAGTCGTCATTTCTTTTGGAATTTATTACGATTACTTTGGTGTGAGGAATCAAATGCTTGAGGGCAGATTGCAAGTTTTCCAATTTCACATGCAAAATATAAAAATCGCACTTCGACTGTGCCAGAATAACGAAGGAATTTGAGGTCTTGGTTGCAAATGCTCTTGGTAGCACTCCTCCATACCTGTCGTCCTCAAAGTAGCAAACATTCTCTGCTTTACCCAGCACCATTCTAATCAAGTCTACAAGCAACTCTTCATGTCTGGCTTCTGATACTGGGCTAATTTTTCCGAAAACCGTCGCAAACTTACAAGCAATGAAAATAATAACAAGGTACATAACGTTTCTTGAATGATCGGGATTTGATTGAACCGCACTGCAACGCATACAAATTTATTCCAAAAGTGGCTATAAAAAGTCCGATCATTAACAGTTGGTTAATTATTTATGACTTTGTGAAAACTAAACGATAATGGCTTTACTCCATTAAGTTGATCAATATCTAATTTTATTCGATTTATTGTACAAATTGATCTCTAACATTAGCTGTGATTCTCTCGAGGCAACATAGTTTTTGAGGCCCCAGATGAAATATTCATATCTTTGGCTGGAGCTAATTGACTAGAGCTTTAAAAGCCCAGCAAATTTACTTCAATTGATGTTTTACTGAGAAAAAAACTGTGCTGATGCAGATACAGGCTGGCGTTTTGGAAGGACGTTACCGAACAATGTAGGTAAAATTCTGCAGTTTCGCCACTAATGACGACCAATGTGAAGAGTTTAGTTTCATAAATTTTTATTCGCAAGCATTTAATTAAACCCAGAAAAAAAAGTTAGGATATTGAGACTAAGTTGCGTTTGATCTTACTTTGGAGCGCTTTTGAGAAATTTTATTGATATAAAGTAGTTACATTGTTTGGCGCTCTGAACAGAAAATGGAGACTGCAAAAACTGTCTAGAATGAATATTAATTTCGCGTCAGTCAGGAAAGTGCAAAGAAAAAACATAGACTTTGATGAAACAATGATAAAATGCAAAAATATTTTGAGTAACCACTTTTATGAGTTTTGAATTAATATAGCAAAATGAAATTGGAATTTGAAGACGAAGGAATTCAAGTACACGAGTTGGAAACGTTTGATTCAAAAGGAGAGAAGATTGATACAAAAAGGAAGATATAAACAGACAAATACATTTATAAGTAGTATTAATTAGTGCTGGCTTAGAAAATGGTTTCAGACAGCGATCTTCAAACTCCTAACTAGTAATCCTCAAATTAAGAAGCTACTTAAGCTTTGAATGGGAATTAAACTTTTGCTTAGTGAAAATGACGGAAAACAATTAAAAATATTTCCTTTGACCAAATTTTCAGCAGTTTATCAACTATGAAGAGCAAAAGTTCGTTTATTTTCTTTTATTTATTTTTGGTTAATTCGATAGGGTGAGTTTCCTTTGGTTTATTGCATCCTTCATAATCTTCTCTATTTCTTTTAAAATATAATGGAATAGAGTGTTCATAGTAATCAGTTTTATGGTAGAGTATGGGCTTTAATTGACCATTTCTACAAATGTAGAGCGATAAAGAAATACTGCAATGAAAAGTTGCGAATTATTAAACCATCATTTCTGATCGATTTTAAGGTATATCGACGACGCATTTATTACTCTTATTTACATTACTAAGTTTGATAAATATCTATTCGATTGCTGAATTGGTATACGTAGGTCTTCACAAAAAGTTAGGATTGAAGTTTGCCCTTTTGAATGACTCTCAAATATTTTCAAGCAACAGGAAAAACAAAGATTTTGCAAAATGTTGGCGAAAGAAGAGAGTTTCTAAATACGAAACAAAAGTTGAAGAAAATTACGAAGAACATTTCAAATGCCAATGCAATTTAAAACCAACATCCTCAACGGTAGAGGAAGTATTGAATATGCTAGAAATAAATCAGGGTTCTGCTATCCATTGTCGAAATTTACACCCCGTTATCTCTCCGGAATATTGAGAATGAAGCAAAAGAAGATTGTAGGGCTGCGATGGCGCCCTCGCCCAAAACTTCAAAAGTTTATGAATTCATATAAATTAAACCGCTTGCCGGGATTGAGCCAAATTGACACCAGAACTTTACTGGAACTTCTTTTATCCACTTCTCAGTGCCGCATCTTTTATCTATGTTCGGTGCTGAGAAATGAGGAAAACAGTATGACAATGCAAAAATGGCCAAAACGCCAAGATTTTTAAAAATTTGTCATTTTATGTAAAATCAACCATTCAAATGAAGACAAAATAGCCTCAAATCGTACGTGAAGCTTTCGTTATCTCGGGATGTTGCGGATATTATGAAATTTTCATCAACCGTCCAAAACTGTCCAAAAATTGAAAAACCTTGTCATTTTATGTAAAATCAACCACATCTTCTACTGATACAAAATATTAGCAAGTCTTAAGTTTGATCTCTTTTATCTACTGGTGGGGCGGACATTACGATACATCTTTTAACCGTTGGGAGATTATAAAAAACAGATGGTCAAACTGTCCACAAATTCACAAATTTTCTCAATTGATGCAAAATCAACCACAACCTCAAGTTAAGCCAGAATTGCGCCAAGTTCTAAATGAAGCTTCCTTTATCAACATGTGATTTGGATATTTCGATATCTTCTTTAACCGATGAGCAATCGGAACAAACGAACGGCAGTGCAAAAACGGTCAAACTGCCTAAAAATTCTCAAACTTGGTCCATTGATGTAAAATCAACCTAAGCTTCAAATAACTCCAAAATTGCGCCAGGTCCAAAACTTAGCTTCCCTTATCAACTTGAGATGTTCAGATTACGATATCTTATTTAACCAATGAGAAATCATACACAACGAACGGCTGTGCAAAAATGGTTAAACTACCTAAAGATTTAAAAACTTTGAAAATTTATATAAATTCATTTATCACTTGAAATGTAGCGAAAATAACACCGAGCTCTAACTGGAGCTGCCTTTATCTACTGATGATATCCGCATTCCTGTATCTCTTCTGGCCGTTGAGAAATGAGAGAAAAGCCGATGACAGTGCAAGGCAGACTTAATCATCCAAAAACTTTAAACTCTTTATTAATTAATGTAAAATTGGCCACCAGTGAAAATGAAGCGAAATTTCCGTTGAGTCTTAAATAAAGCTTCATTTATCCACTATCGATGTTTGCAGTCTGGTTTCTAGTCGGACCGTTGAAAAATACGGAAAAACTGACTATAATATGAGAATGGTCAAATAGCTCAATATTTGAAATACTTTGTAAATTTACATAAAATTAACCACTAGTCTAAACGATGCGAAATTGGCGTCAACCATTAATTGAAGCTTCTCTTATATACTGTTGGTACTGATATTCCGGTAACTGGTCTGACCGTTTAGAAATTAGTAAAAACGGATGGAGTGCAAGAATGACGAAATCACCCTAAACGTTTTGTCATTTTATGCAATATTAACGTTTTGTTCAAACCAACAGAAATTGTGCTTTAGCAACTGTTGATTTCTTCATTCTGGTATCTCCTCTGAACATTGCGAAAAGAAAATCACGACTGACAATGCCAAAATAGCTTAAACGCCTAAATTTTGAAAAAAATATCAATTATCAATTATTTATAAACCTAATACAAAATCAACCACTGGCCCAAATAAATCTAAGTTTGAACCGAGTCTTACATGAAGTTTTCTTTATCTGCAGTTGATGTCGATATTCCTGCATCTGTCCTGAATGTTGAGAAATGAGGAACA